ATAATATATATATATATATATATATATTTTATATACCATAATATATTTTATATATATTTTTATTTTAAATAATGATAAAGATAATCGAATACCGAAGTGTCGTCTCTTGAATGCATAAATTTTGCACAAAATCAATATAAACAAAGAGAGTAAATAATAGACAAAGATAAAATAAAAAATTGGAATTAGCGCAATTTTTGCCACAATGAAACACATATGATATGATAAAAAATAATATCAATGCCATTTCTTGATTGCCTTTAACAAGTATAAGATAGATCAATAAGAATTGAAGATCAAGAGATATCTTGAATATTTTCAAAATATGTTTTTGATATTCAAATTAAAGAATATAAATTGAAACTGAAGAAATAGTTTTAAAAAAATTCTAAAAAATAATATTTTAAGAATATTTATAAGATTCATAAAATATTATAAAAAAAATAGGAATTGTAAAATATAATTATAAAATATTTCTTATTTATTTTTTTAATTTAACTTATATGATTAAATACATTTTTTTAACAGCATTTATTTATTTGATCAATTTTAACGAATTAAATTATTCATCTATCAAGTCACATTTGAATGTGTTAAATCAGCTATAGCTTTTTGTCTAAGAGTGTATAATTTTTTCACCCATTTATCGAATCTTGCTTCTTGATCGATCATTATCTGAAACAAAAAGCATTTGAAAATAAAATATAATATATAATATTCACTTATATTATCTATTATATATGTATATATAAAAAATAAAAAATAATTACCGATGAATGAAAGATACTCTCTGTTCCATTAGGAATTTCAGCCACTGTTGGAACTTGTATAGTATCTGCGTTAATATCTATAACAATGTTCTTAAACTTTTTTTCTTTTGTATTAGATGAAAATTGTTTGGGTGTAAAACCTTCGGAATTAATTTCCTCTAATACACCTTCTTTAAAACGAGGTTCGATTGGGAAATCATCTATAAAAAATAATTTGGCGTTAGATTAATATGATTAACTATAAATTTACATTAATGCGATATTCTAAATTATATAAATAAAGATAATGTAATATAATATAATGATGATTTTCACCTTTTATTAAAATATTTTTAGTTTTTTCAAATACAATAGTTTTCACATTAGATTGTGAACTACTCGAACGACTTCCAGATTTTTCTCTTGAAATAGATCTAGCTTTTCTTTTTGAACAATCTGAAGATCTAGATCTAGAATGATATCTGTGTCTTTCTCTTCCTTTTGAACTACTGTTTCTAGAACTTTTATAACTCTTTTGATTGTGATCTCTGTCTCTGCCTCTGCTTCTCGAATGAGAGCGATGTCTACGTTTTGTTTTTGAATGTTTGGATGATCTTTTTCTATGAGGAGATGAATCGCTAGAATCTGAACTAGATGATCTGAAAATTTGATATCATAAATATATTTCTTGTAACTAAGTTTTTCATGTCAATGTGATATTAAATATATTAATGGAAATTATAATATATTTTTATATTTAAAATTATATCAACGAAGTAAAATACGGAAAAAAAAATAAATAAGAATAATATACAAGATAAAATATAAATAGGTAAAGCATGTATATTATGTTATATATTATATCACTTAAATTTGAAAAGGATTAAATTATTTACCTAGATCTTCTACTACGTCTTCGTCGATATCTGCTATTATGATCTGAATCTGATTCACTAGAATATCTTGCCATAACTGTCACCTGGTTCTTTGTTTATTTTGCATCTGGATCTAGGTTAAACTCGCAATCAGTATTAGTATCAATGCAATGAAATACTTGAATATGCAATAAAGAAATAGATAAAAAAAACAAATAATACTATAGCGCTATCTATCTGTATGAATTTGAAAATACATATAAATACATAAATGAATTTGAAGATACATATAAAAACATAAATTGAAAATAAAATAAATTCGAATTTGACGCGTACAAATGCTTTTATTGTCCAATCGGATTGTGCAAAAGATTAACATGGCATCTTGTAACCCATAAAATAGCTTAAAAACGTGACATACATACAATTTTTAAACTAATGAATTCCGGTAGTTAAGATTGATATTTTTCGATTCTACTAGTCAAAAATTATAAAAAGAATTCAAAATTTTAAATATCCCAGAGTGAAGTTTAATCAAAGTATTATTCGAAATATATGTACATCTTTGACTTCTGATGCTCTCTTGACAATTTCAATAATTTGTCGATTGTTTTATACATTTCTTCAGATATAAAAATTTAAATATTGGTGTCGCTTTTAAAAAGTTTTAAAGTTAGCAGAAATTTAATGAGATATAACATGGCGCCGGTAGATAATTCACCAAGAGAAAACATGGGAGCATTTGACTTTATATATTCAATAAAAGCGAATGATACAATACCGGTACATATTTATAAATCCAGAGATACTGGAATTACTGTTTGTATTGCAGATGTTGAGGGACCTGTTGTAAATGGTTACTTTTGTCTTGGTAATTTCTTTTGTTTTTATATTTCTTTATTTTAATATAGTGTTTATATTATATTATTATTTTATATATATATTATATACATATTATATATACATATATATACATGATGTATCTATTTTTATAAATTTAGCTACTGAGGCACATGATGATGATGGACTACCTCATACATTGGAACACCTTGTTTTCCTGGGTAGTGAGGATTATCCATACAAAGGTGTTTTGGACTTATTGGCCAATAGATGTTTAGCATCTGGTA